CACGAAAAACGAGCCGACTCAACTGCCATGATTTGTAGTCGTCAGAAGCCTTTTAAGTGTCACGTGCCTGCGTAATTTGCAATTATCAGTTCTCCGAGTAAAAAGGTTATGCAAGGGATGGTAAATATCTGCTCGGCAACTGTGATGTGGTGAATATTCTGGCTGCGAAGTCTAAAACTGGCCGGTAATTTTCTGGTGGCATGGAGTTCCCCGTCTTGAGCACGATTTTGACCTTCAAGGTCAGTGGTCCGGGTCAAGTTCGTCCGAGTACGCCGCTGGTGCGACGTGCGTTGAATGGCGGATGCTGAAAGACTGGCCCGTGGTGCTCGCACGTCCCATCTAGTGCGGATTGTGCGGCGTGCGGGGTCACTAATCGCAATCTCACGTACGTCCTGCGCTGTAGTGTTAGGTACATCCAATGTAGTCACTCCAGTCTTTGAATAATTCAATGCGGTACACGTATCCTTAACATTAATCCAATACGCACGTATATTCTTGTACATCAAGCTTGTAACGACCCCTGTCCTTTGCAAAGGACCTGCCTTAAAATAGTGGGTGAGGGGGGGGGGGCGGGGTGGGAGGCGGTGAAGACGAACGACCATTCTACCTTTATGTTAAAAAATGGGATGATGGAGCAAATACCGGAAACTAGCCTAAAGTTCTAAAAAATCATGCATTCTAGTTCGTTCAACTTAAGCTAGTTTCTTGCTCGCCAAAATGGTACCCTGTGGTGAGCTCAACTCTAGCTAGTTTCTTACTTGGCATAGCCCAGCGTGGTATGCTAAACAGACAGCCACCCCGAACGTTCCTGTACCCTCCAGTTGATCAGCTCTGCCCGCAGCGTATGGTCTGGCAGCGATGATAGGCATCATGTCCACTCCGCCCCTGCTGTTCTCGAGGCCATGTGTAATGTCTCGGTTTGGAGTTGGCTCACGAGGCACGGGCGCGCCTGGCCCTGCGATAAGCTCCGGATAAAAAACAGGCCCACGTCAGCGTCGCACCACGCTCTTGTCCGCACCCCGTGTCAAACCTCGGAGGGGAGATTTTCTGCCTACGTGCGAACACTGGAGACATCTGTTGGACGTTTCATGCACTCCAACAACGCGGTTACAGATATCAAAATTACAAGCACCCGGTATGTTCAGCGTTTGCTGTTTGACAGGTATCGCATTAAAAATAGTTTTCTGGGCAGTTTTGTGGTATCAATTCCTCCAGCTTCGTGTTTCAACGACGCGTTATACGATGTAATTAGCAATGCTGCAATTGCAACATTGCAAATACCGTGAGATTTAAAGCCAAAAAAATCCCTCAGCGGTCCATGACTCCAAATCAACATAAAACCCGGATGTTGTATATCTCTTCGGTAACTGAAAAGTGCAATATTCCGAGTTATTTGCGACATTTTTCACGGTAGTTGTACGATGTTTCGACATACGTAACAGGCAATGCAACGAAACGTCATGTGTTGAACCGGACATGGTTACCTGCATGCACGACTCAGATTTGGCCCAGATCCGCCGACTGCGTCCGGGCTTACTCAATTTCGTATACCCTCCGTTGGCTTCACGCCAGCAGCACACCTTTCACGCGTGCCTGCCTGCGATCCTCATACCACCGTCTGACCAAGGCTGAGGAAGGGCTATAGGTGACCCAGAAGTATACCATTCCACGCAAACAAGCTGGTCCAAATATGACAACTTCTCATTAACTATGCCCAGCTCAGTAATCTTTCCAAATAGACTCCTCGAGATGCGCCCACAGGATCAAAGGAGCTCTTAACAACGCCACGCAGGAATGGTGGCGTCTCGCGGGAGGGGTTAGGGCTAGGGTGCCTGGTGACTACTCATTCGCCAAGAGGATGCCAACACAAAAACAAAACACGAAGACGAAATTGTAATAAACGCTTGTATGGTACGCGCAGAATACCGCCAGAACTACACAAAACAGCAGGCCGCATTCGCAAATCACCACCTCACGAACATTCCCATTTGAGAGCACGGAGATTACGCATGCGTACTGTAATTCAGATCAGTGACGTCACAGGAAGACCCACATTTCGCGAGCCGTCAGGCGATAATCCCACGGAACAAACGCTACCACTCTCAGGAAGCCACATAAACTGCGCCATCAGGCGGACACAGGGCACATCATCCTACATGGTGCCACACCGGTATATTTATTGTTTTGCCAAGCCATATTTATTGTCTTGGGTGCATAACTCTGTGCACTCATTGCTAGCATAGAGATCGTCACAAGGGTTGCATCTTATTTGCAATTTGAGCCTCATAAAACAGAGATTATGTGATGTGATGGATTTTTGAGACGGTTTCCCTCGCTTGGAATGCTCGCAGTTATTAAGGCCTCGCGTCCATGCTGCGAATAACAACGCCATCACAGTGTCGTTGCAAGGCACTCAACAAGCCTCGGTACTGATGAACGCTACGAACACCAGACTCGCGCCACAGGAAGCCGTTGGAGGTCAAGGTCGCTCCGCCAGCACATCCCACGAACGTCACGGCAACGAGTCGCCACATAAATCCCCCAATCAACATCCGGCCAACGAAGACAAGTTATAGGCTTCCCGCGAGGGAGCTGCGAGTCCGACTGTTTCACCTGTGGCCGTCAGCTGTCACGCTCAGCGACGCGACCCCCGCACGGAAAACGTCAGTGCCCACCTCCGCACTACACATACGTGCGGCGATTACATGCGACCGGGCATTTGCTTCCCTTTACGCCCTCGACAACGGCGTGCGATTTCTCGAGGCGCGGAGCATCTCCTGAGCTGGCGTCCAGTCCTCGTCCATCGCCTTCGAGGCGCAGGCCGCGTCTCACGTACACATTGGCGAGCGGCAGCCCGCGTTCAGCGACGTAACTCACACCCAACCGGCCGAGGGCCGCACACAACACTGGCGGCCCAGTGAGTTCCAACGGCTCACGCGCATCCCCATACCGGTTGTCCCATAGGATGGACTGAGCCGCACGCTTCATCACGAGCAGATATCACGTGGCCGTACCGCACATAAGAGGAGGTGGAGCCCATCCCAACGCATATGAACCCAGACTCGCGCCCGACGTGCCCACAGCATTACCAACATAACCTACACATCCGGTGACTCCCGAAGGCACTTTCTCAAGACCGCCGACGTCGAAGCTTCCCGCGCTGTCACGCTCCTCGCTGATGCCGTAAAGCGGTTGACTGGTTGCACAGGTGGGCCATTCCGACCATCCGGTCGTCCGGCACTGGCAGCGGAAGCACCGCCGCGCCGGCGCGTCGGCAGCGGTGACTGGAGGCGCCGATGCTGAGGGCCTGCCGGCCGGTGCCTTCAGATCTGATCGTAGGTGGTGTCGGCCCTTCGGCAGGTGATGCAGAACGTGACGCCGTCCTGGGAAAACAGTTTGCTGCGGTGACGAGAGCGTTGGATGCGAGGACTGAAAACGGTCGGCGTGCCAAGCTACTTGAGGTCCATGATGAAGACAGCGGTGTATAACGAATGAAGGCCCAACATGGCCCGATTATCAGCTGCAGGTGACCTGGCGTACACACATCCTCCCGAATCCAGGGTTGATACGACAGCAGTGTATAATGAATGATGGCCCAACATGGCCCGATTATCAGCTGCAGGTGACATGGCGTACACACGTCCTCCCGCATCCAGGGTTGATACGACAGGTGTATAATGAATGAGGGCCCAACATGGCCCGATTATCAGCTGCAGGTGACATGGCGTACACATCCTCCCGAATCCAGGGTTGATACTACGCCCTGCCCACCCGACCCCCTCGGCTTACATCCGTGGCTACGTCTTACCGAGCATCCTCTCTGAACTCCCTCCTGCCTCTCCCTTTCTCTCGTCCTCCCTGGTCTCTCCTCTTCGGTCCCATCTCACACCACGCTCCTCTTCCTCCCTCTCCCCGTCCTTCACCACCCGTCCCATACTCATTCGTTCGCGCCCTCCGGTGCAGCTCCATCTACTTTCTTTCCTCTCACCGACATCCATAATTCCCAGGTTCACCTGCCCTACTCTAAGACCAAGACACCCTCCCATAACGCCTCCACTCCCCTCGCAAAGGCTTCATGACTTCTCTCAAGCGGCAACAGTGACCCCTCCTAAGAAGCATCGGCAATGATGACTGGTTGTGCAGATGCTAACCCCGTGCCAACTGGCGGCCCCGATCTGATCTGATGTGATCTGATCTGATGTGATCTGATCTGATCTGATCTGGTGTGATCTGATGTAATCTGATCGTAGATCTGATCTGATCTCACGCCAGGTCAGTCCTTGGACACGTGATGCGGTACCGACAGCGTCCTGCAAAAACGTGTGGCTCCACGGCCACAACCGTTCCCTGGGAAGAGGGGGAGGGGGGGGGGGGGTCGACAGGGTTCCTTCTGTGAAAGGAAGGGGTAGGGTGGGCAGGACAGAGTATTTAAACCAGATGGAAGCGCGTGCGTACGCCATGTCACTATGAGCTGGCAACAGGTCATTTTCGCCTTCATGTCATGTCGTCCGCTCAAGGTCTTCCTTTCAGACTCCACCCCGAAGAGTGTTCCACTCACCACATCACTCAACCTGACAACCCTGTGCCAGCACACCGCAGCGCCAGACGGACTCCACGTCACATCCGGCCATCCCTCCCTGAAGGGGGGGGGGCGACCACCCCACTCACCCGGACCAGGCCGGGCAGGCTGGCCCAGAACCTCCTGTTCGGCAGCGCCTCCCAGCCGGTGGCGCCCACCACGATCCTGCGGTAGGCGACGCCGACCAGCAGGTAGAAGCCGGCGCCAGCCACCAGCACGATGAGGAACACGGCGCCGCCGCTCAGTCGGGTCGGGTGTCGCTCCTCGGCACAGCCGGCCGGGCACGCGCAGCGCGACGTCAGCGTCATGTTCTGCCAGGGTGGGGGGGGGGGGGGGTGAGAGGGGGTGATGGCGGCGTCCGTGCCCGCTGGCGGGCGTCGGCGCCTGAAGGACACTTCTTGACGTGCTCCACACCGTCGGCGCAAGTGTTAACACTTCTCAGGAAGAGCGAGCCCACACAAAAGAAGTCGGACGTGCAGAGGTGCTGTATATCGATTATGATTTGTGGGCACGATGATGACGACTTGTGAGACTTGTGAGAAATGAGCACGGTTTTAGGGCACGCCCATACGTGATAGCGTCACTAGCAATTAAAGCGGCATTTTAGGACCTCGCACTGCCCTGTGGGAGGGAAGCAAGCAGTAGCGGTCCTAGCGACAAAGACAGCGTTATAGGGCCGCGGACTGATCAGTGGCCTGAAGATGACTTCTGCCGGTGCCCACGTCTACCCGGAAAACGATGCCGAGCACGGCCATATGAACACAATGAAGGGAATGGATCTGGATGGTGGTGTGAGCGCAACTCCTGCCACCCCGTGATGGAACACGGCGGCAGCAGCGTGGACAACTGGCTCGCCTCGCAGCGCCCCCCCCCCCCCCCCTCCCCCTAACATGTCGTTAAAGGAAGTGAAATAGCCGCATCAGTGGTCATCACGCAACGATCTAACTCGATCCACTCACGTATTCCAGAGGGGTGCCCCCGTTTTGCCGGAACACCTCCAGCATGGGATCGCCGCGCGACCAGTCGCACCGCAAGGACACGTTGGTGCGTCTGCAACACGAACGGCACTTTAATTAAACTGAAACATATATGCAACCGACAGACGTGACATGACAGGTTTTTAGACTCATGCATGCAGCGAATGACACGCATTTCGCCGCGTTTCACCATATAAACTATTGTTTCCGAAGTAGTGCGCGCGTTATGGTCAAAACACAACCAGAAAACAACTGTCAATCACGTAGGTCATTTACGCATCACAGCGTGGAAAACTGCAAGGCACGTTGCGCCATCAGGCGTTCATAGGAGAAGACACATCTGCTAACAATGCACACTGCGTCTTAAACATGCTCCCCCGGTGGCGGGGGACTCGGCCGACGGCCGTCAGCGGAGGAGCTGCTGACGACCGTCAGCGGAGCTGCTGACGACCGTCAGCGGAGCTGCCGACGACCGTCAGCGGAGCTGCTGACGACCTCAGCGGAGCTGCTGACGACCGTCAACGGAGCTGCTGACGACCGTCAGCGGAGGTGCCGACGACCGTCAGCAGAGCTGCTGACGACCGTCAGCGGAGCTGCTGACGACCGTCAGCGGAGCTGCTGACGACCGTCAGCGGCATCAGACCTGCAGTCCTGGCCGTCACAGCCCCTGTAGCTGATGTAGAACAGATCGCGCGTCTCGTCCCAGCCGAACTTGGTGTCGCCCAGCTCGCCCAGGTTGTAGTAGGCGTTGCTGGCGACGTCCTTCTGACACACCTGAGGCGGAGGCGAAGGTTGGATCTCCGGGACCGTTTTCGGTTTGGTGTTTTGGTCGGCAGCACGCCCCTTTAAGATGTCAGACTTTTCTGAGACGCACAAACACAACGAACCGCTCTACACCGAGTCAGGGTCCGCCACATCCAGTGACCGCTGTTTCAAACCACAAGCGAAACGTCTCGTGTCCATCACCAACCCCACGCCAGCCCGGCCGCGTGCGTCGCAGGCCGCCGCATGGCCTCCGCTCCGGACTTTTCCTCACAGTGTGTTGCAAGGCAGTTTTTTGTCAACACTTTTGAACGGATGGTTTTAAGGGACCATTGCCCGCGCTGAGCAGTGTTCCTTGTGTGAGTCGCAACCCCATCCCAGACTGTGAAATTACGGGTCAACAGCAGAGTTTATCCGCCAAGGGCAAACGCGCCGTGATGCCCAACACGGTCCGCGTCAACCTCTGTCATCACCTGACCCTTAGCGCGACCTCTGTCGCTGGCTGTAGGTCATTCCAGTCGCAGGGAAAATGGCGAGCCTCTGGAGTGACCCGACTATACCCCGCCGCGGGTGGTTGGATTGGCAGGCAGGCGCTCCAATCGCCTGAGTTATGGGGACGGACGCCCCCATAAGGCTTTCATACAGTACCTTTTGCCTTGAATAATTCAAAGCATCTGGTGAACCTTTGTCCTATTGCGCATGCTCAATGCACAGGACTGAAGGGAGGTAACTATCAACAGCCATCATTGCCTCATAAATTAAGGTACCACACTGTTTGGTCACAGTATTACAATGGGAACTTTTATCAGGCTCAAGGTACAAATAAACCTAATCTGCTCCTGCCCCCTGTTTGACCCTCTGAACTACAGGATCGGGGAACGTGCGTCAACACCCGCCTAGCCCATGCGACAGAGATCAACACGACACGTATGATCTGACGTCGCAATCGCGCCGTGGAACGTTTAAACGCCCGTGAAATATGCAGCGATCCGGAACCGAACCCGAGACCTTCCGGTCGCAAGTCGCCCCGCCACGAGGACGTCTCTAGACGCTGCGGCTCTTACCGAGACTCCGGTGCAGACGCCGTTGGCTTGCGGCAGGGCGAAGCTGCGACACGGGTCGTAGTAGTAAGGTACTGCCGGCCGTCGGCGCTGGTGTGATTCACCTCCTCGACGTCCGCGAACCTGGAGCACGGCAGGCAAACGATGACGTACGGAAAGGCTGGCCAATGGCGTCGCGAGCGTGGCGGCGGTGGAGAATTTGGCGTATGGCGGCCAGTTGAACGATCGCCTCGAACTTTAGGGGGGGGAGGACGACGACACCAAGCAATGAACACAGAAAGTCAGGCAATAAGCCAGAAATTGATGGTAAAACCTGCACTATGATATGAACATTAGGTCACATGCTTCTTACAAAAGGGGCACAACGCACGTCGTCACGCTCCTTTCATGAAGCCGCAGCGAGACTGCACTGGCCGTAACAGCGCTCAGGGGCATGGTGTAACCGAGATTCGAAGCCGGCCTCACGTGGAAGTCTAAGCAAACTAATCGGCCATTACGCCCCCTTAGTCACAGACTTAACTCGATGGAAGGGTACGATGCACTTGGCCATAACCAACACGCATGCTCCAAAAATTATTCAACAGATTATCTCACGCGCAGTGGCCAGCACCACGAGCTAAATGTGGACCTAGCGATCTGCGTCGCCACAGGGGCTTTACGACGCCCTCAGCTGCTCAGGCTATACAGCGTCGCTGCCTCTCACCCTGGCAGGAAGGGCGGGCACCACGAGCCATAGCGCCTACAACCATAACCATGAGCGGAGCATGGACGTGACGATGATGATTGGGGTTTACGGGCGTGCCGACAAGGTTAGGATCGTTTCACGTCCAGGGATCACGTCGCGTCCAGTGGGATCATGGGACCGCCGGTGAGGTGGGGAGGAAGGGGCTCGAACCCCCTCCTCCATCTTGGCGATGAGCTAACGTCTGGGCTCCTGGAACTCCAGCCGAGCTTGCACGGTTCCTCATATCCAGCGTCCGAGAGCTCAGCTCATTACGTTGACCAAACCTACCCCTAAAACGTGATTCCTCCTCGGATTTTGACCGCTTAAATGTGGGTTTCCGCTGTCAGGTTCTTATTTTCAAAATAAGAAACTGTTCCACAACATATTATTGAACGGAAAAATGTTTTTCCATTTCAACCTTGTTTGAAACTGCAGTTTTGCGAGAGGCTCACAACTGGGCGTCATTCGCAGAAACCATGTTAGCGAGGCAATCCGTTATGATCATCCGAAGTATGCTCCATTTGTCATTCAGGGAAGGGGATCTGAAATGTAAAAAAGTGTTTCCAGAGTGGCGTAGCCTGGTACTGGCAGACTAGTGAGCGTGAACATGATGCAATATCCGTGAAAAGGCGATGACAAATGGATCACGTGGAGTGTCGACAAGCCTCCACAGGTGAAGGAAAACTGAACTTGTGTGCGACCTCCACAGACCTGTCGGGCCACAACATGGCCATCTTCAATAGCAGCTCAACATAAGTTTGACAGTGGCAGCGCAACATTATGGTCAAGCGTGGATGTGAATCATGCTCAGGTTTTATAAAATGTTGCATGACATTGAAGTCAGGTATTGCAGGCATTGTGGCATGCAAGCAAAACATGCTTCTCTTCCCACTTATAGCTCAATTAGGAGTTGAACAAATATAACCTTATTAAGGTGTTCCACTTCACACAAAATGATGCTGAGTAACCTGGGAGGAAGAGCATTTTCTGCAACATAAGCAGTATGCAAACAGGGGAAAGAATGGTTGAAAATAGACAAAAATAAGTTTGTAAAGTTATGAACAGCCCCTGTGCTTGTATACACACAAAAGAAGGAAATCAAACCATGTCTGATGAATTATGTTACACAAGGGTTACATCACCATCATGCATGTGCCCTGGCCTGGAACCTGTGCATGGTGGTTGGGTCTCAAGGTTGGAAGGAGTGAAAAGGCCAGTGTACTAAAGCGGGAGTTTACAGACAGCAGAAAAACATAAGTAATTCCCTACAAATTTTCCCACCAGGTTTTTACTTCAATCAAGGTCACTTGTTCAACAGGTTATAAACACATAAACAATGACTGAAATGACTGAAGACCCTGAGAAGGAAATGCAATTTACACATTGTTAGGCCAGTATGTATCAAATAATACACATATCTGAATGCATTGATGAAGATGTACATACACTGGGCTTTTGATCCACTGATGGCATCCAAGCTAATAAGTGTTCCATTTTCCAGCTTGCAGGTGCAAACATGGCCTGGAACCTTTACACAGGTCTTGCCAAAGGTCATCCAAATGCTTGTCCCTAGCACCACACAGGTGAGCAGCCAGCCTGACTTCAGCATTTTGATAATCAATTCTTGTCATCAGCTCCTGAATCGGTGCATTGATTCGGCTTTGACCTGTAAACAATGAAAAGCGTGAGGTGCCAATAATACTACAGGGCTATGTAAAACTGCAGTTTGTTCCAGATTCTTGAGTTGGCTCACCAATAATTTTGAGTTGTTATTTGCATGAATTAACTAGCACAACTTTGGCTCAAAATATTCAAAACCAAATTCATAGAATTAGCTGTGAGTGACAACAAAAACAAGATCTGCAGTCATCAACACTTACACTTCATACTGCAAGAATACATTGTAGGTCAATTGATGTTTAAGACTGAAATGCCATAAATGAGCATAAAACAGAGACATCTAAAAGCCATGTTATCATCTTACCTCAAAGACATTAATTACGCAACGACGGCAACCGTTGGCCTGCGGCACTGTTAATTTGTTAAGTTGATGACACCACACTGATGTCCAGACTGACACAGCTGATGTATCATGACCATCCCATTCCCGGCGGATCAAAGCCAGAATTCGTCTTTTCAATGAGTTTTTACGGACCGCTGATGGGTCGAAGGTGGTGTTGATGGAGAAGCGGCGGTGCTATATAAGTAGACGTCACTTACTTTTCAGGCCTTCCAAAAATGGGTTCCAATGACACGATTTTCTTGAAAATTGGACAATACGTTGCTCCAAGACGTTAGTTCAGAAAATCATACTATCCCTACCATCACCCAGCTCATATACTGCCACATACCGGTACTACTAGCGTCCGCCCAAAAACCCCGTTTTTTCAACGCCAGTGTTGATGAATGGGATACGGCTTCTCTAGGAAGTGTAGGTGAATTATGTACGTGGTAGCTGATGATGACGTGATTGCCAAACGAACTGCAGTTCGCTGCAGGCCATTGCTTTGGCTGTTTCGACTACGTGGGTTTGGTTACCCTTTTTTGTATGACGTTCTGCGTTAATGATATTACTGGGGTACCAAATAAGCGGAAATGAATGTTCGAAAAGTACCGTACCGCGTACCGCCGGAGTAACGAAAAAGTACCGTGCCAGGGGCGTAGTTTCTCAAAGTAAGTGCGGATCGTGAAACCAGATGAAACCTAACCTCTATGATTCGCCTCAAAGTGGACTTCTTTTGAACTTTGGAGGAAATTTTAGAAGTTTTATCCCTTTCCACAACTTTTTCCTCCTACGGTCGGAAGGGCTGGATCTTAAGTTAAGGGCTTGAAGCTCCCGCCCCCTTCCCTCGCTCAGCTGAAATGGAAACTTCACTTTCGTGCTGTGCTTTCCAAGTTGCTGCATTTTGAAACGTGATTGGAGGTATGGGGTTCACTGAGGCCGCTAGTCCCGCGGATGATCAAGTCGCGGGCGATACAACCCACATGTATGAATGAAATCACTCAAAAACTGTAATCAATGTAACCGACATGCCCAAACACAGGCAAAA